CTCCACTTGACGGGGAATTGGCCCAGGACTTCGTATTGGCTTCTCCTTCTGATTCATTCGCGCAGTTCGTAATGAACTACAATATGAATAAGATGGATAGTACTCTCTCTGAGTTACTAAATATGTTAGTAACTGCCGAGAAGACTATGAAGAAAGAGAACGTTGTAGGGACTTCTGCAGTAGTCTACAACAAGCCATCCTCTTCCAAGGCCAAGCCGCAAGGCAAAGGCAAAGGGAAGGAGAAGAAGCCACCCACTCCTAAGCCGAAAGGAGGAGTGAGGAAAAAGAAGGCAAAGGAGCCCAAAGGGACTTGCCACCACTGTGGAAAGGAGGGGCATTGGAGGAGGAATTGCAGGTTATACCTTGCAAGTCTTAAGGACAAGCCACAAGGTATGGTTTATGTTCTTATCTTCAATTCTAATTGTTAGATCTTCTAAATATTTATATTTGATATAAAGAGCTAATCACTTGTATAATTGTATATAGGTGGAGAAGCCAAGTAGAAGATGAACAAGCAAGGAAAATGTGGTGAAGGGTTCGGCCACTATATTTTTGCTTACTACTTAGGAAGTTTGTTAGGCATTTAAAGATTGTCTTTAAACTTTCTTATTTTGTTAAGAACTTATTATGTGGCTTCAAATGATGGAAGATCACTATTATTGCCTAAATGTATAAAGGTATTTATATTAGTCTCTAAATGTATAGAGCTAATACTTTTTGTATTAAACATTATGAATGTTTGAAATATCATATTAATGTAATGTCAAGAATGCCTTTTTAATATACTATTTCCTTAAAGTAGTGTTATGAATTGAAAATTGTCTTGTTGTATCCTAGATGAGATACAAGAGTTATATCACTTATTGTAATGTGATAACCAAACTTTAGATTTATCAATTATGGATAGATCTCACATGTAGGACATAAAAGGATACAATGAATCTTTAGATTTGGTTCCATTTGTCTACCTATGAGTTCTATATGAATTGACAAAAGTCTAGAGAATCCTTTCTTGAAGAAAAGGAAGATCACATTATAATGATATAAGTAATAAGAAAAACGTTTCTTATATGGTTGTCACTTGAAACACAATGATCAAGATCACTCGTGATTCAATTAGTAATTTAGAACAACTAATTGGGCAATTTTAAAAGGGTTTTAAAATGTCAATTGTGTTAGTGATTAAACCAAGAAAGAAGTATCTAAATCTATAAAATGTTTAAAGACTTTAGTCACTTAATGACAAGACATTAACTTAGTGAAGATTGAAACAAATGAGCTTGAAATGTTTTAAAGCTGCTACACAATGTCTTCTACCAATGTACTCCACTTTTATACATTTTGAATGTATGAAATGATTTCTCATTAAAGTCATGAGAAATAGTGGGAGGTGTGAAAATGGATATAAACTTGATTGTGATCGGTTTATAGTTGTCTAAAGGATAATAGTACTTGACTATTATTAAGAGTTTGTAATTTTAATTGTTAAAGAACTCAAGCTCTTCAAACGTTAAAATTCTATGTTGTGTGACATTCTAAAGAATAGTCTTTGAATGTTGGTTTCGTCAACCTAGCATAAAATGGTTATATGTTGGGAGTTGTCCATCATTCTCTTTTATGAGAACAAGCTAAATAACTAAGCATATGGACAAGTTGATGAAACAAAAGGGAAATAGTTTCAAAATGAGTCACAACATATGGTTTAACAACAAGACAATCCAAATTCAACATCTCATGTAACAATATTGCTCTATGTAGTTTTAATAAAGAATTATATCAACCACCTAGAAGGAATGGTTGAGTTTCTATATCCTTAGTAGGAGCCATGCTTCCACTAAAGACTTGGATAATTCTTATATGACTACATTAAAGGTCTTAGTATGACTAAAACTTGAAGTATGGTGTATGACACCATATAATTTAAATGAATAGACTTAATGAAACAAGTCACACATTTCAAATGGAATTACTTGAGAAGGAATTCTTTTGTGTGTGATTCATTTAAGTTAGTGGGAGCAATATGCATTCAAATCAAGAAAATATAATTGTTATTTTTGAATGAATGCTAAGGTACAAAAAGGCCAGTGGGAGTGATGTCATAATTTGAGCAACAAGATGTGAATAAAGTCTATTCGATAGACTTCATAAAACATAAGTGTTACTCGAGAAATGACAAAACATGACATGGTCAATTTTGAAGTATAGACTTGAAATTGGGCTTATTGATATAGCAAGGCTATCTCAATAATGTTATATGGGAATTAAATCTCAAATGTTGTGGATTTAAGAAAGCATTTTTCTATGTGATAGAAAAACACTTTCATAACCCTTATAATGAATATGTCACAAAATCACAAAAGAGACACATGTATGGACTTGTGAAGTAGATATCCAAAAGTGAAGAACCACAGGGGTTGTCACTATAAGATATTACTAAATCCCAGGATCAGAACCAAAGCAGTTGAAAGAGTATTATTGCCTTTAAAGAAAGAAACATCAGAGTGGGACTCTGGAAGCGTGCGTTCACTTAGGTTGTTAACCAAAGTGAAAATAAGCCATTTTAACAAATGAAACTTCATAATGGATGAAGTACTAATCATATGAATGCTTGTTAGTATTGTACTACAATGGTCTCAAGGTTGGAGCAAAGTTTGTATAAGGTATACAAACGAAATATATGACGATATATTGTTTTAGAAACTGCTTCAAAATGTGTTTTGAATGAAGGGGTTCTTATAGAACCAATGATTGAATCCAAACCATAAGGTCGTTAGTAGGATACTACGACGTAATGGGGCGATAGCTTAAGCCATGGAATCAAGATCTCATCAAAGTATTCGAACACAAGAAAGAGACATCATCAAATGTTTTGGAAACATTTGATAAGTAAATCCCTTTAAATAATAAAAGGGATTAATGCATAACCGAATTAACCTACGAGCATAAGCTCACTCAACTAGCATGTATAAGATACACTAGTGATTGACTTTAGTGTAAGTGGGAGATTGTTAGAAATATGCCCTGAAAGTCAATCTTTGGAAGAAACCTTTCAGGACAAATGAATCGATGTATAGATGACTCTTATACATCAAATGGCAAAGATACTATTTAGGACTATCTCAATTAACGATATATGTCCTAAATAATGAATCCATAGACAGTGGATCGATTGAAGAAGTAATCTAATGATGTTAGACTACAGAGACCTTCTTCACATAACCATTATGTCCAAAAAGGTTCCTGGTCATTGGATTGTCGGAGGGATACTGACAATGCTTAGACCGGTACATACTGTGTCCGCTTCAAATGGAAGAATGGAAAGTCTCATCCGATTTGTGTAATGACACTAAGACAAGTATGTAGGTGCTCATTAAGGGAATGAGTTCACTGAACACAATCGAACGAGAGTACTTGCATGGAGGTCTACTCACATGTCAAGCAAGTAACTCTAATGGTTGGAATAATGTAAGTAGTCCTTTGACATGAGGCATCGTCGTTGTCTTGTGGCTAAGTACTTAATCTTTGATTGTGTCAAAGTCACCCCATTCGCGGATGTCCACGGCATAATTGGGATTAAGCCACTTAGTCATGAAGGCAAGTGTATGCGCAATAAGGAATCTCTAATTCTCGATAAGAGAGGAAGAATACTCTAAGATATGATTCGGGAATCTTCGGCCGAAGTATCGAGCGTAATGAAGGAAAGCGTTTCTATACGACTCAATAGAATCATATAAGAAGGAATAATCACATTAGGGGTTTGACATAATATATCCATACCCTAGTAATGTGATTGAGAGTATTGTTTTAGAGAATGATCGAATTACATTGTAATTCCAACTTAATAGGTTCTCCGAACAACTTCTACATTAGCTTGGGTAGCTATGACATATGGTTAGATGTCACTCATAGCTTGTGGGTTCTTCTAGATGATTAAATGTAGTCATCAAAGAAGAAGGTGAATTAAAAGGAAGTTTTAATTCACTAAGTGATTGAATTAAATATAATCAATTGGATTGATGCCAATCACCTCACTGCCTTGCTAATTAGAACCTAAAATGATTGTACACCGACATACTATTGTAGTGAGTAATTAATGGATGAAGGAATAATTAATTGGATTAATTAAGTGTTGTGATTAATTTAGAAAGTCTAAAGAAATCATAAAAGCGATAAAGATCGTTTTGGGCTTAAAGAAACGTTCGGGTTTAATTGGGCCCATTGGGCTTTTATTCAAGCATAGGATGACTTGAAATAATAAAAGCCCAAAGCCCAAACCAAACACTAAAGGGCCGGCCACTTAAAGGGTTTGGGAGAGATATTTAGTCAAGTTGTTGACTAGGTTTCTTTTTGTCTATATAAGGAACTTTATAGAGATTTATTCCTTAGGGTTTTTTGTGTGTTTTAAAACAACAAAGAGGCAAAAGAAACATCTCTCTAAAACCACAAAAGGCCGGCCACCTTGAGGGTGTTTTAGCTAACAATTTTTCACCCTTTTGGTTATTCCTCCATCCATCTCACTACACTAGTGGGTGTGGATCTTTAGAGGTCTTCTCCTTTGGAGACTAAAGGAGAACCTTGGAGCACTCTTACCAACAAAGTGGAGGAGGCAAGGAGGGAGGCTAGGCTCAAGGAGTTCAAAGGAGCAAAGGGCTTGGAGGTGGTCCATCCTTGGTCTCAAGTCTAGATCAAGAGGTATAAGACTAAACTTTCACTTTGTTCTTCTCTAAAATGTTATGATGCATTATATATAAACCTATGAACCTTGAAGGGGATTTGCATGACTATAGCTTTGATAATTTGTGTTAAATGCTTCCGCTGCTTTCGTATATTAAATTTGATTTGTATATGCATGATAGTCATTTGGAAATCCCTATGTGTAAAACTCATAATTTTCCCTTCATTGATAACATTTTTTGGTGTTAATTAAACTTAAGCTTAGCGCAGGAAGGATTCTAAGAGATTATAGAAATGGATGAGTCTTGGCACGGTGGTTGGGGCTATTTGGTCATGTCACAAGCAGCATATATTATTCAGCAAAATCTAACATGTTTAACAATATAATAAAACAGATGTCCCCCTCTACTTATCCATTGCCATCTCCTTCTCCTCCTCCTCCTTGCAAGCAACACTGTAGATAGCCAAACAGTCTCGTATTTACTTATTTGTTCCCCACAGTAATTTGTCAACGTTGGTAAAAAAAGAAAAATAAAAAAGAACAGGCTACAAGTCTACAATACAGGCAGTATTGTGAACTTCGGAAGTAATCAACTAAACTTATACTTGCAAAAAAAAAAAAATATATATATATATATATATATATATATATATATATTCATCCGTATTCCATTATTGTGCGCCCAACGCTGAAACCCCCTCTCCCTCTCTCTGAGATTATACATTAATACCCATTCCGTGAATGAGATGTCTTGCACCGCAATATATCCGGTGATGCAGAGCAATAGAGAGAAATGCTTCAGTTTCCCTGTCAAATTAGTTTATCACATCATCAGACTTTCATGGACTTCTGCTGTCCAGAAGCCCCCTTGGTTAAAATATGAGACAGCAACATCATAAAGCATCATACTTATACGAGAAGAGAGCAAAGTAAGCATAGTGTCATCAGTGCTGGTCTATGTACATGGGGTACTAATAATGTCAGAAACATGTGAACAAAGTGGCCTGTTTATGCCACAATAAATAACTGTATGGTTATTACAATGTTAATCAGGCGTCTCTTACCTTAAGCCTGACTTCTGTGGGTGAAACTGATTTCTTTGGGCTCAAAGGAGCAGCACTGAACTTGGGAACCAACACCTTAAAACATGGTAAAAAGACTATGTACAGAGCTGCAAAAATTAAGGGAGCCGCAACAAGCCATCCCAACAACTGCAAAGATTGATACAAGTTAGACGTGATGGTTTCATAAACATAGATAGAGAGAGAGGTTATGACTACAAGGTGTTATGTTGGCAACCTACCGCATGCGCAATACTTATTAAGACCTCATTTGAAGCTTGGCCAGTTAACACTTTCTTGAAAGCGTCAGAAGTTAAAGGAAAATGAGCTCCACCAGAGATAAATTCACCAAAGCGCAAGAAAGGTACAACCAAACTTGAGAGCAAAACAACAACAACAAAAAAAACAATCAGATAACAATCGTATATGTAGCATAAAATGTAACAGGCATGGTACAAGAGCAACCGAAAGCTTCAAGACAAGTTCTTTTGTATATACTGTTTCTATTCTCTAGGGCCTCTATCAACATAGAGACGAAACGGTGTACCAAGTCCGAGACCAATCCACAATCAGTGATCGTTTAAACATTTTATGAAGGACGCACAAACACAATTGGTCGCATGCAGAGCCATTACATAAACGTAAGAATATTACAAGATGCTAGGATAAAAACACAAGTACCTCAGCTCTATTGGTGTAGCAAGGACATTAGCCAGCATGACAGTTGGAGCATGGCAATGGGATCCCAGCAATGCGATTACCATTCCACACAGAAGCACAGTTGTCCCTATTAATGAAACATCAGTTAATATGAGATGCTTATCAACATTTCGAGAATCCAACACTAGTTCTGAAAATAAACTCCAGAAATACCAGATCCATTACAACAACTACAAAGGGGGAATCACATCAACATCGGCCGAGTTATATCCAGCCTACAATTTCCTACGCGAACCTTGCACTCTCAGATAGCAATGCCCTTCTGTTCTCTGAAGTGATAAAAGGCGGCAACTACTCCTCGTAAGTTTTATTTAAGGAGGGTCCTATATTGCATATTACTGCCACACTGCTGAGCCACGTAAATATTCACTAATGAATGATGTAATGAACAACTAACACTGAGATATGTTGGGCATTTAGAAGTAAAGCGTGACACGATAAAATCTGTTCGGATGAGCGTAGGAATAAGAGAAAAATCTGTTCAGGTGGGGAATCAACCGCGCAGTATGGGATTTGAGAAGATAAAAGATGCATACGTACCGCATATTGGAAACAATCCAATGGTAAGGCCAAGAGCTGCAGAGAATGCCAACAGCTTAGGTTCTGCACCCCTTCAAAATCCAAATCAAATTTTACAACTTTCTTTCTTTCTCAGCAACCGCCAAATACAAGTACCAATGAAACATGATTTTGTTTTAGGAAATTGTTGCACCATTATCAATCAATCAAACCAAAACAAAAAGAAAAAACAAGAAAACAAAACAGAAAGTGTGAATCTGAAATGGAAAATGAAAATCAGAGAGAGAGAGAGAGCGTAAAGGCCAGGGTACCTGCGGAGGATTTCGAGGAGGGGATCGACCACCTTCTTGTTGAACCAAATCGACACCCCATTACTAGTTGCCGCCATCACAACCCCTTTACAAATTTCAACGACTAATTCTTATATTTTTTGTTTCAGTGAATGGATTTAGGGTTTGAAATTGAATGGATTCAGGGTTTTTCTCAGGAAAAGAACACCTCTAGTCTGTCTGGCAGATCTAGTACAAGCCAAAGAAAGAAATACAAAAACAAAACAAAAGATTTGAACAATAAACAACAATTCAGAATTCGCCCCACGTTTGATATTTGCTTTTGTTTTAATCAAAATTGAAAATTTGGAAATACTGGGTTGGGTTTGGTTTGGTTTGGTTTGATCCGAATTTCAGAAAAGCAGATGGAGAGATATTTTCTGCTCTCAGGCTTGCCTTTTCCTTCCTTTGTCCTTGTGAATTGAGAGATATTTTCAGAAAGGCAGATTGAGAATTGAGAGGCCGACGGTTGGGTGTGAATTTGAATTACAACAAGTCAAAGAGAAAGTTTTATTCCAATGCGGATAACACTACGGTGTATGGATGTGCCCCAGAAGCAGAGGATAATCACCTGCAAAGCAACGTGGACGTTGGAATGCCGCTAAAATTAACGAACGTGAAGTTGGTGCTCTACGCTTCTCTTAAAAAAGTGAGTGTCTGGACTTTTTTTTGTTACCTTATGGTTTTTGCATAATTTTTATTCTAACATTATAAATTATGTCAAAAACATAAGTGGCAGAGAGTTTACGAGAGTCCTATTTTGATGGAGTTCCATTAGCAATTGCATCAAAACCTGCAGGGGAAAAAATCTAATTTAGTTTTTCTTTTGTCCAAACAGTCCATGTAGGAGTTTTTACCGGTTTTTGTTTTCCCAATCTCCTAATCCATTGCCAGCCGTTTGATTGACTCCCATCAATCCTCACATTTCATTTCGCGTACGTGTCACTAATGATTTATAAAAAAATTCATAGCATTACAGAGAGTTAGTTGCGAGAGCGTCGTATTCACTCATGAAAAAAGGAGACGGTAAATTGTTTTTAGTTTAGGTAGTACATTGTATAAATCTATGCGATGCATTGTTCAAATGAAGCGCAAGATTTAAACATTTTAAACGAAATCATCATATTTGTCTGTCGAAACAAAACGATGATATGAAATACATTGCCGTATTGAACAACTTTCCTAGGGACGGACGTCCAGGTGATACTTGAGATTTTCAAAACAGTCCACTACCAATTTCCCTTTTTGTTTTTGGCCCAAATGTTCCGCTACTTGAAATAGACAGGTGCTATTCTGATAAGGAAAAACCGTGCTCCAGACACTCTCTTTTGATATCTTGCATTAGACCTTGAAGTACAGTTGGGTTGCTCGTTACGACGGCATCAATGTGCTCGGACAACATTTCTTGCATGGAATCCACATCATCGACAGTCCACGCATACACTTTCTTCTTTCTCCTGTAGAAACCCGGACGCAAAGCATGAAATTTCATCAACATGCATCTATACACTCTAGGTATCTTACCATGCTAAAGCATCTAAGTTGCAGTCATACCCATGCAGATTTCTCACAAGCTTCTCATCAATCAATGGGTGGTACACACCAACAACACCAGCACCCTTCATCCTCATAAGCCTTGGGTGAACGGATCCATTGGCCCCGGTCTCTGAACTGAGTTCTCACGTCAATCATCGAAGTTGTACTCCTCGACCTGCCGTTAATAGAGTCATCCCCTTCTAAACGCTCCACTTCTGAATCACATTAACGACACACAATCAATTTTAACAACTCTTGCGCTTTTGAAGCTGAAGACACCATCTGGTCATTCAGTATATCAATATATTTACGCCACCATAACTATCGCTGCGTTGAGCTAACCTTAGCATACCTAACAAATGTTCATTCGCTGTATCCCCTGCCAGGACATTCAATATCCAATATAAAGCCTTGAAAGACAAATATAGCTCTAAATCTAGTGACAAGGCGTTCATCAGATACCTTCGGCAGTTATGCTCGATGGCGACCAAAACCGGCCGTACAGTGTTCCTTGAACGAGTGCACCAGGATTAGTGCTGACACAGTACTAATAGAGGCTGTTTCTTTGTCTTAGAATGACTTCCTTTAGAAGCAGATAAAGCAAGATTGTGTTGCCGCAGCTCTATACAGGATATTAGTGCACAATCTGCAATTACTATTCTTTAATTCTCTTTGTTAGGCTCTAATCGTTATTCCAATACTCAAATAGACAGTTCCTAACAGCTCAGAAAGAGCTTCCAACGAATAATATAGGGTTTCCATGAAATTGCACAACGTCTCACAATTCGTAACATAACCTAACGTTAGATACCATACTGTATTTAAGCAATCAATTCAGTGGTAAGCGCAGTGCAAAGGCGCCGAAAACATGTGCTATTGCTAAGAAAAACAAAATATAATAGATAGGAACACGCCATCTGCTGTTATATAAGAATCAAAGCTGGCTCAGTCGACTTTGATAACATGCGTCAAGATGCAGTGCAGTAAGGTGAGCACCACCAGCTAATCGCTATCAATGACGCAAATACACGAGGCAAGGACAACAGTCAACAAAGATTACCGATTCGATTCACGTTCCTTATGTGGCCAGCAAGTGTTAACCATTTATCCACATCTGCTCAAACTTCTTGCCGACTAAGATAGTTGTACTATTCTGCTCCAGCATAGATGTGCGTGTGGACTTGCTCTAGGTTGCAGCAAATGATCAACTCACGAATCTCTGACCAACTCGCCCATAGTCTCTTACGGTACGTTAGTTTATCCACTATACTATTTAATCTGATTCTGAGCCGTTCAATTTTACTGTTTTGAAGCATAGAACAAAAGTACTTAACTTGTACTGAAAGATACTAAATACATAAGGTATAATAAAAACACTGACTGAGTCATTTATTGTAAAACCAATCCATAAAATAATTTCTGACCTAATCATCGCTCTCATCAGTTTCCTCTTCCCCTAGCATAACTAATCAAGAACATTTCACACAGCCTCACCAAACTATATCTTTTTTGCTTCGGCTCTAGCCCTTTCTCATACGCTATCACGCTCCCAATTGCGATCTCCGGTTCCTTTCACCATCGCTCTCAAATAACAGCGCCCCACTATGGATTCAGTGATCATGACATCCCTAAATACTGTCAGTCACTCCTGGATAGCCTAGAGATTTTGAGAATATAACTGCAGAAATTTAAGACTCCACGATCACCATCGAGGCTAAACCTTCTAGCTTTAAACGAAATGTTTACAAGAAACTTTATTTAACATGTACACCCCTGGTACTCAAGATATGCGATGATTGCAGTTTAACATGGGAACTACAACGCTGGAATCCACATAATTATGCACCGGGTAAACGAAACCAATCTCTGCCTTGTAAGAAATGAAAAGATTCCCCAATTTAATCATAATTGATACAATACATTCAGAATGCGATACGCACACGAACCCTAATGAATGCTCATATCCTTCTCCAGTGTGTGAATTTCCAATCAACACTTGTGTGTGTTTGCTGCAGACTGATCATATGCAAAAGAGACCAATGAAAATAAAGTAAAGATCACGACATGTGTCCTGGTTTACCTGTGCACATCTGGATGGACTTTAGCGATAGAGTACTGCACCTGAGCTTCTTTACTACTATATGGCGACTATAAACTTGTCACTTTTATAGCAGGAAAATACGAAGTGCCCAAGTTATTCATTATAACACCTTGCACGCCCTTCTTATAATCCACTGAGATACAAAGTATCGTGAAGCTTGGAGTTATACTTGTGTGAATCTACATGATTAACTTGGGCACAAATTTATCAAAATGTCTTGATATATTAATAATGCAACCAACAGAAATAACTATTAGTATAAATAGAGTATTGAAAAAGAGATATTTCACGCCTGACCTCTCACATAAAACAATGAAGATGGCACTATTGTTGGGGATTCTAAGTGTAAATTGATGAACTGATTAAGACGATCTATTTAAAATAGTAATTAAAGGGATATGATACATGGACGAGGACAGACGTCGACATGCAAGAACACAACTCTAGCAACTAGAGGCCATGTATGATACCTTAAGGAGCGAGCCCTTTATATCATAACATGTGAGCCCGACTTTTCTCAATTCTAGCGAATTCAAACCTGCCGAACTTGAACCTATAACACTTAATCCTGCTAATACAATAATCAGACACTACGCACTCACAAAGTCAAAAGCTGCCATATAATGAGGAGTGGCCGTGGCGTGCTAATGACACACATCATAAAAGCTGTCATATCTATTTACTGCTGTGGGGCTCTATAGCAAGAACATCATGATAATAGTATATCCTCAAAAGATCTTTTCATGAATGTAATAGAAAATATTTTTTACTTTCAGGACCATTATCCATAATGAAATCGCACCACCTGAGAGACCAAGAATACTTTTTATATCTACAATCAACAATATCCAAAAAGTACGCTATTCATTTCTAGACTGTTCATACCAATATCTTCATCTAACCATCCCATAACAGAGATATATCTCACAAAAATGAATGGAACACTACATGATTCGTTCTTCAAATGATAAGTCTCTCAGAAGTAGAAGGATATTTATTAACATAGTTCAAACGGAGGTAGTGTTTTATGATAGCACAATCACTCTTGATTCGAAATACGCTTAAGTACCGCACGCTATAGAAGGTAATTGTTTCTCAGTTTATCTCTCTTCAATGGAGTCACTTGTCTGTGGCTATAATTCATTGGAGAATCTAATCTTTTTTTACAACTGAAGAATTCTAAACGATGCTAAGTGTAAATACTTAGTGTATAGTTTCAGATACTGTTGAGAAAGTCAAATCTTTTACGCCATTATACATGGATATATTCAAAACTGTCGTGCTATCATGTACAAATTTCCCTCTCCGAAACCATTGCTTCCCACAATAAGTGCGAAGAGGTATATATGGTGTGAGGAGTGTGATCGCCTGATACTCTCTCACTCACAAGCTTATCGAAATAGTCTCTTAGCGCATATTCTTTCCATGCATTCTAACATTCTCTTAGGTTATACTTCATCTCATAAGTATATACGTATGAATATAGTCCTGGTTTATATGCTGTGGAGATAACATACCCTAGTACTGTGTTTAAATATTTCTATATACCATTTTCATTTATATTGACTACAACACCTAGATTAATGGATAGTTCTTTTCGTGAGAAATTTTGAACATGTGTAAAACTAAAATTTTCGTCTAATTTGTAAAATATCACCACTTGATACACTTCGGTGCTGTGAGCTCAACAATCTTCTGGATGATCTACCACTACTGAGAAGAGTTATCACTATCTATCTTGTAAAACTTCTCATCTTCATTAATTCCCTTTATTTTAGTTATCTAATAGAAACATAATATAGGTGCTGATATGTTATATATGGTTGTTGTTTGATTGATGGATGAACGAGGAAAAGGATCTAGTGCGCACCGGTTTTCTGAGGATAAGTTCTATTTAAATGATTTTCAATGAGTATGTTAATATTATAGCGATTGGACTTCTCGTGGTAGAGTATCGATTGATGGAGTTTTTCTCGTCGTTAGAAAAAGAACAACGCCTCATTGAAAAAATAATTGATATAATTATCTTAATATATTTCGTGCATATGATCAACAATAATGTGCGGAGATATTGTTATAGAGAATACTGAGAGCGTCAGTTCAACAAATTTATTTGTGAATGTTAATGTGTAATCCATACTCAACTAACCGTGCTAGCATGGAGCAGCCCACAGCAACAACTCCTTACTCTATAAAGGAACCAGTAGAAACATTCAAAATCTCAAATTATAGATCCTGACTTTTGAGTCTCTGTGACCAAGAGCAATAACAAGAATGAGTGGCAGGCGCGCAGTGCGGTGTGGAGGAGTGAGTGAGAAGATCACAAAGGAATTAAGAAAGTGTGTGAGAATTGAGACAGAGGATAGTCACCGGACAGGAGGAACTCATTGATAAGTACAGATGCTTTTGAATAAGTTACAATATATAAGAGTTATTTCCCGATCAAGCGTAATATACCTTTCCTCTGGGGAAATAGCGATACACTAGCCATTAACCAACCATCTGACTACAATGAAAAGAAAGACCTAATTTAAATGTGAATAAATAAATTGGACTTAACCGTGTTAGGAAAGGCCCACAATTAAGGCTGAGATCACATGCCCAGTTGCGCGACTTATAACACACGAAGTGGACTGGTTTCAGTACGCCAAGCACGAGCTGTGTCTCTGGACTTAATTGATTAAGAACCAGATTCAAATAAACTATAAAACTCAGATAAATTATGCTGAGGACCTCCACGAATGAAATAATAGAGTGTCTAATAGTACCATTAGTACGACAGACAGTGTAATAAATACAACGTGAATACTACGCAGCCAATAACCAACACCTGCAGTATTCATGTATTTATGGTGGGAAGAATATGTATCCGTATGGTTGTGACCTGCTGTCTGGATTCAGGTATGTAAGCTACAAATCAACTCTACAAGTACACCATCAGTACAAGATTATATGCATGATCAATAAGGCCTCACTAAGTAGCGGTAGTCCCTCCCAATTCTCTGTGCGGTCGTTTGTAGA